TTTTTTTTTTTTTTTTTTTTTTTTTTTTTTTTTTTTTTCAAAACTTAGGCGAAAAGGATGAAGTAAAGGGTACTTGTCGATGCATTTGTAGATCGCAGCGAAGGCACTCCACTGGCGGCACCCGATGCGTCCCACCATATCCATCTGACGATTCAAACAAGACAGCATATGCAATCGCTAAACTTTAACATTTTCAGTGATAACGTACGATATTAACGAACACTTGAATGATAATGATAAGCGATCACTCACTGAGAACTGCTTCCTGTCTACTTCTAGGCAAGGTTTCAGCTCTTTTTTTCAGTCTTTTTCCCGTACCCACCATTAGGACTTCCCAAGACCTGAACTGCTATCCTGGCCTTCACCTCCCATTCTGGCCCTAGTGTTCTTACCTCGACTCTCCGAATGCTACAACTTCCAATCCGACTGAGCCAAGCCAAGTTTTAGAGCATGTCTATACCGCCTGCCTCGTTCGCGACGTTACTAGCCTAATGTAACAACTAGCGTAACAAGCCTAACGTGATAAATTCTTAGAAGGCAAAAAGCTCATCCGATGTAGTTTCTGGGAAACTCTAAAGTCATCTGCCGAAATATCTGTGAACTTAAAAATTCAAAAACCTGCGTTTGCACAATCCTGGCACATCGATGGTGTCCATTTCGTATTGCCAAATCTTCGGCGGTATGACCCATACAATTTGTTAGCTGCAGAGCTGATAAGCCCCAACCCTGAAACTATTCATGTAGTTAGTGAATGCTCTCTGTTCCACATAGCAATATCTCCTAGAGCAACAACAACAGGCACTAAGGACAAGATAGCAAGTCGGGCGATACGGGCGACAGATATTAGGGAACAGATGTCCAGTTAAACGATCTTTGAAAAGGCGTTTGCTGACGGTTGGAATTAAAAATAAGGAGCGTGGAATTAAAAAAAGGGAGGGTTAGCTGTGTCTAGAAAAGTTACACTTTGCGTTTTAATTCGTCGCAGCAGTATTCTGCACATTGCTAATCTAAACATGTGCTTGTCTGCATGTTCGCTGGGTGGGGGGAGGACACCCATGCGTTCTTGCCCGATCTCGCATTCATATATGAGGCATAATTAAACAGAGTGCTCTTTTTTCCGACAGAAAGCTGCAGAGTGTGAAACTGGAATTCAAATCAAATTTAATAATGGAAAAGAGAAGCTGAAATTGTGCAAACTTAACTTTTCTTTAAGCCTCAGTTTTTGAACTCTAATAACAGGTCGAATTGACAAATAGTGCTACATTTGTGTAGAAGGTCGAAGACTGGACTTTGCCGTTGGGATAGCCTTTCCCTCTACAAATTGCTCGTTTGTTTCGATATTAAGTTGCTACTGGCGAATGTCAGAGAGTCAAACATACCACCAAATTGCTTTTAAGTCATCTACAAAAGAAGGAACCATTGACAGCCTTGTTAGCGGATAGTTGCTTTTGGCATTTGCTATCACTCGAGTTACTTCCGGTTCCTCCGTAAAGGGCAAATTTGCAAGGAGTTTTGACTTTTGAATTTTTTTAGCAAAACAAAAATTTATAGTAAACTACGGGTTGATATAAAGGTTACTGAAGTACTGTTACAGTAACTGAAGCAGCAGAGGCTATTGATGAAAAGATTTATGATAAGATGCCTATACAATGAACTCAAACAAGTTTTGAATGTAAAAAGCAGGTCACCTTCGAGAGCGTATCCACCATATAATTCATTAGGTCATTTCTGCCTTTCATTGCAGCATGCATAAGGGCGGTGTTCCCGAGTCGATCCTGTATCTCCAGGCTGCAGCCCTTCTGCAAATTTCTACAGTTTTTTTGTTTCCCTAGCTTTCAAGCTACAAATGCAGGAAATTCTTGCTTCTTTTGTTTTTTTTTTTACATTTTGTTTCTAACACTCTTTTATCTTTTTCAAAAAAGTCACAACTTTGATTAGTAGCCGTGTGTCAGAGGGCATTTGGGCTAGTCGAACACCTAGCTTAAACTGCTGAATTATATACTTTGTGGATTATTGAGCAAAAGCAATGAGTGGTTCATTTTTAGCATGATCTGCGAGGACTAAAAGAAACATTTTCGCAAGTGCGACATGACGGCAGTGCGACAAAAAATCGGGTAGTACGATAAACAAGCAAAGCCGAAAAGAATAAGCAATAAACGTTTTTATAAATAACTAAGCTTTCCCCTTTTGCCCTTTATTTGCGCCAATTTTTGTTTTGTGCCCCACAAAAAACAGTTCATAAGTCAACCACCCTTTAGCCAACAATGCTTAGAAGTAAAAAATGTCTATCTTATCCCGTCACTTGACAAAATGTCCCCTCCAATTCGGCACTGTATTATTTTCGAATACCACTATACTAAAGAAGTGACGTGTGAAAGCGAAACACGGTTGCTGACGAAAGCAGAAGAGCGAGCGCTTGCTGTGACGAAAAAAGTGATGGAGAGAATGCTTAGCAAGTCACCTAGTGATCACATAAACATCAGGCTTTCCGTCAGAAAGCGGTGCGCTGCGTATCACTGCGAGTAGGCGATGAAGTAAAATCCGATAGGAGTAAAATCTGATATCGCCTTGCCGACAACTGCTGAGTATAGCGCACGAGTATGTGGTTTCCGTGAAAAATAAGTGGTCACATGGGCTAATTCCGAAGAGATGACGCACATGCAGCGAACAAAGCAATGGGCATTAGCTGTGGAGTCCGAGAATCGAAGGATCTGGCACAGATTATACAGAATGTGGAATTATAACTAGTGTTTTACGAGCGGCAAGGAGTTCTTGTTTTTTTTCCAAAAGTGCAGAACAATTCATGTGCGTGCCAAGTTCACATCATGAAAGTGATCCCTAGAGGACAGTTTAGTGCAAGTTGTTTCAGAGCTTCATTGGGTGAAAATTTAAGTCTTCTTATCCAGGGTAAGAAGTTTACCCAGAGAAGTTTTTACATAATTATTTAGTTAAATCGTTGTTTGTCCATCACACTGCTGCTATGCCTTTTCTTATCTTAAACGAGGTACGTGGAAAACCTTACCACTTTCATAATCATGAGGCCTTCTTCAGTCCTATCATTTTCAATGCATGTATACATTAACGGCGTGCGCTTCTCCCGCTTGTCTTGCAGATTCACGTCCGCACCACAATCAATTAGTAGCTGAACGTATTTGAGCTGCAAAAAAACGTAAAATTAATGAAAAACATAAAGCTCTATGCATCGTGCTGGCTTGTGCAGTGACTATTTATCTCTCAAACGGACGATACAGTTCTGCCTGGACGTATAGTGTTATCAAATTGATACTGAGGCGTTCCAGAAGCCAAAGCTGCCATCATCTTGCTTATAAGCAATCTCGAAAAAGAAAACCATTGAAAGCTTTGTCTGTTCGTGGTTATAGTTTGATACAGGCTACCCACCCAAGCTACTACCGAGTGTCACCGCCTTCCACTTTTTGACTTATTGCTTAATGCATTTCTAAAAAATTACGGAAATAGACAGTACCCATGAAGTTTAGCTTTATCTGTCATTTTACGACAACATTAAAATTTTAACAAACATGTGGTTGTTAATACAAAAAGCAGTAGTAAATGGAATTAAAAGTGCACTAACTCTGTCTTCTTTACTATCAAGATATTTGATAACAGCAACAAGTAGCGGCTCGCCGATCGCATTCTGCTCATTGGGACTTATATCCGGCGTATCCTAAAATCAGCTAATTTTGCGACGAAAAGAAATTAACTGTTACGTCATAAGTGAATAATTCATAAATTCAGCAAATGAAATCAGCTGCAGATGAAATTTACTAGCAGCTTTCAGTCCTGCACTTTCTGCGTCCTGTGTGAATGTCCTTTTGAAGATTCAGAAATCGCTGACTAAGCCGATGATGTAATGCTTTAAATGCATTTAGGGATAAATAAGAATGGACGTTCCTAAGCTTATCCAATTTGTCGACGACACATGATAATTTTAATCTTTAATTAAGCAATAGGTGATGTTTCTAAAGTCCTCTAATCGTGTTTTGAACGTACCAAAATGCCAAGACCGCCTGGATAACCCTGCGGAGTTCTAATGCTGGTGATGCTACTGTGGTGATTCTACAGGCTTGGCGCAAAAATGCTAAGTCGATCCTAAATTGCTTGTACCTACCTGGTGTTCTCTGTTATTTCCAATATATTTTCAAAAGGCTTCCTTCTTCAGGAAAAAATCTCGGTCTTTGCTAGGGCACCATCGTCATACTAAGTTAATCATTAACTATTACGAAACTTACACAAAACGGCATTTAAATGCACTTGATTCTGATTAAAAGTTAAACAACTGCAGTGAAAGAATTCAGGCGAATGAGAAAAGCGTATAGTTAAAGCAAATAGGGATAACTTGGCCATGGCTTGATGTCTAATTTGTATTTAGTCACATTTGGGAAGCTTAGCACAGGTTAAAGTGGTATCGATTCTCCCTCTGTATTTCGAAGTTCCTTAGAACTACTTTTCTTCGAATGTCCGGTACAGGAAGACTGCAAATTCATGACGAACCTGCAGCTTGTTTTTGTAATTCTGAGGTATCTTGTAATTTGCAGTCAGTGCCTGAGCTTGCAGAGCGTGCAGGCGATTAAGTAGCCATCCTTTTGCATCATTCATATTGAGTGATTTTCTGAAATATTTTCGATTCAGGCTGTTTTTACTTTTAGCAGCTGAATTGAATAGCGCAGTTGACACCGGTATATTAAAAACACCAAAACCGGTCGAAAAGTTCGTATGAGGGTTCCACGTTAGTGATTTAAATGGGACACCAGAATAACTTTTTATAAAAAGTAGGAAAAAATATATGAGAGTTTTGCTAATGCTGCCAAGTTTGGAACTCACAAAACAGCTAACTGCGGATTTCTCATTAGAAAATGAGAAGAGTAAGGATGCGCATATGGTTTTTGCGCGACCGGGCTTTTTTATGGTGTTTATTGCGTGGTATAAGTGTATGCGTATGATGCTCTTACACTTCCCGTAAGATGATGAATCGAATCGTAATTCATAAGCAGTACAGTAAAAGCAGAAAATTGATTTTATTTGTCACA